GTGTATATAACTTTGCACCAAATTTAGCAAAAAAAAAAATTTATAAACTATTAATAAAATGTTTACGGTTCACAATATTTTGCGACGCCCCTGTTACACAATACAGTGATGAAATACAATGTTTAAATAATGTACTATTACTTAGTCAAATTGAACCATTAGATTGTAATTTTTGAAATGTTTATATATACCATAAAAACAAATACCCGCCCAGTCGGGCGGGTTATGATCTAGTATTTTCTTAACACTGGATACATCATCATATAATCTTTATTTCTATAATAAATTATCGACAACATTACAATATTAGGAATAATTTCACAGAGAACGTTTCATAATATAACTCTCTTTCTAACACTCGGATCAACTGATAATTTTGCATGTAATGTACGGCATCTTCTATGGATATATAGACTCTATTGGTAGAAAATGAGATCACGAACGACTCAACGTGCGATATTTTGAAATTTCTAGTAAGTTTTGCATATTATAATTAACAATAATGGTACCTTTTGGTAATCATACCTCAGACCTGACTTGATGTGCTAGGAAAGTTCCACAAAGTTTTTCAAAATTTATCTTTATACCGTTTATTAGGTTTCTAAACCAATATTTAACTTTTTACATTAATATTATATTATCCATTTTGAATCTAAATCCAACAGTTTATAGTTTTTTTTAGGACTCATTATTTTATGTTAATAAAAATGTATTATTTATATATCAGAATATTTGTTAAACATTTTTGATGTACGGTTGGATTGATATCCTAACAAATAGAATTGTTGAGATAAAGCATAATACTTATTTATCTCGAGTATTTTTACTAATAAGAGTTAGGCCATGAACTAAAGTTTTAACGAATTTACACCTGACTGTTTCGTGGATTTTAATTTACTACAACTTTCCCAACGTTAGAAATAAAATGGGTAGAATGTGACTAGCAGCTGGTAATTGCATAGGAGTGAGATGAGCTTGTGATTTTGATTTGGGGTTGGTCGAAACACAGATTATTGGAGCGAGAAAAGGATTGGAAGCATCAAAACAAAAGAGTTGTAGACATGTAAGCCAAGACAAGCTACAATTTGAAGTTAATCGAATTCGGAAAGCTACAAAACGGGAAGTGGTCCTTTTTCTTAATTTATTCCTTTTGTATCAATTGTCTCATTTGTTTCTGATAACTTATATGGCAAATTCGTCAATCATACATGCTTTCATTTCCCTAATCAAAACGGGTTGGTCCATGAACTAAGCAAATCACATTGTAAATGTGATGTGCTAGCTAAACGAAAGAGATGCATCTTTTTGGAGGTAAAGCTAGAGTTTCAGATTCACCTTCGGTAGGCATTATTGAATTTAACTCTGATTGTGTTTGTTTCGGCGTTATATCAAGTCAGATAAGATTTGTACTCTTAATCTTGCCTATGGTTCTGGAGCTTTTTACCTAAAGTTCTTGCCAGACAACATTTCAACTTCTTATAGATGTATCGAAGTCGTTTTTGACTATCAATTATTCTTTCGAACAATCACTATGGAAACAAAAATGAAACTTTCCTTTAGATTTCTTAATTTCGTTGAGCATGACACATCTTTCGATGATTCTATTTTTAGTTGTTTTGTAATGGTTTTTAGATTCATTATACCGTCGATCATGTTTCTGGGATCTTTTGTTTTAGTTGTAAATTTTCATACTTTTTGAACTTTTTTAATATAAATTGGGTGTAAAAAAAGAACGAAAGAGATGCAAAAATATGGTATCAGGAAACTTGTAAATGCTACAGAACTGACCCAAACAGCTAAACAACCTTTTACATTTATGATCATTTATATAAATATTTGTGATGCTCTTAACATTCATGTTTGAAAAGTGAAGTAGTTTTGCATGTGGTGTTTGATTTATACCTTCCATAGTGAAATCATGATGTTTGTTGACAGTAACATATTTTAGTGGCCTTTGAGTGCAACCTGCCATGACTCACTTTCCCTCACAAAAACTCTGACATTCTTCCATAAAACATAAAAGTCCAATAAAATTATACTCTTGGATGAATATAAGCTAAGGAATTTCGGTTTAATTTTATTCTATTTTGTCAAAGAGAGCACAACGTAATGCTTTATAAATAGTGAGACCCACTTGAGTTTTTTTAATTAAAAAACAACGAATAAATTTCCATTATTAGATTTTTTTGGTAAAACATCATTGTCATCTAACTAGTTATGAATTTTTTTATTCAAAAAAACTAGTTACGAATGCGTAAGTATATTTATTCCAAAAAAAAAACTTACACTTATATCACGATAATCGAACTTGGCTTATTCTTTCGAAAACAACTCGCTTTAAATTCGAAATTAAATCAGTACACAATTGAGTAACTTTCCTCCACTTGCTTTTCCTCCATTTACATCCAAACCTACAAAATAAAAATAAAAATAAACCATCAACCTCCATGCAAAACCATATTATATTACAAAGTCGCGCGCTTTAATTTGATCACATTTCTTTACACTCTAAAAGCAGACTATAAAACCCCACTTTTCTTTTCTCTTATTCTATTGCTAGGAAATTAGTGGATAAAGTATCATATCTCCATCCTTCTTTACACACACATACTTGTATAAAAAAATATATATATATATATATATATATATATATATGAAATAACTCATGATTTAGTTATCTTCAATCCTATACTGTTTTTGATGTTCCCTCTTCAAACCACATGAAATCATGGAGACTCACCACCTCTTCGTCTCTCTCCTTGTTCTTCTTCCTCTTCCCCTATGCTCATCCCAAGAAAATACCAGAAGCTTGGCCACTGATGTCAATAGTCCCCTTGATACTCCTCCAATATCCCAGGTGAATATGTACTCTCTCTCTATCTCTCACACACATCTTAATAAATTAATACACTCCTCGCAGTCTCATTTACATAGCTTATAGTTCTTTACATTGAAGCTCAAGCATTACCCTTGTTACAAAAACTTATAAAATATATAAATAGTTCATATATCATCACACGATAGATTTTAATGAAACCATGAAGAACCCTTGTGGCTTATAAATAGTTTAATCACTTGGATATAAATGATGTTCTTTTTTCATTTAAATGAAACCATTAGAAATCTTCACTATCATTTTCTTTTGCTTATTCCATATATGAACTGCGTGCTTCTTAATTATTTTACAAAAATTATATTTGAATTTTAATTGTTATTGAAACAGAAACTACATCCAAAGCTTGTGTACGAAATCAAAGTACATGGCTTTATGCTTTGGGCATCGATGGGTGTTTTGATGCCAATTGGTATAATCTCCATCAGATTAATGTCTATCAAAGGTCAACCTCTACTCTATCTTCGTCGACTGTTCTTTCTTCATGTCACTTCTCAGGCAGGTTTCACTTCTTCTTTTTTTTTTTGCTCCTTTTCTATAATATCAGTATTTTAGTTCTACAGTTAAATCATATGAATGTTGAAAACATTATATGCTCCGAAAATGAAATTCAATGGTCGGTGTGAAAATGTGGGTGGATAGAGAGTAAAGTAAAGATGCCTCTTTCCTCGTCTAAAGAATAAAGATAGCATCCAGTTAAAGACTTTTTATGTTTTTTATTAGTAATTAGTAGGGCCTTTTGGGTTGTTCTAGATTGTTAATCACACTGATAATCATGGAGACTTGAATGTCAAGCAAAAGCGTCAATATCTTCTTAACCTTTAATTCGTTCTCTCTTTTGGATACTTTCGCTAAGAAAAATGTCAAAAATGAATGCAGTACAAAATTAAAGCAACATATTTTTTGCTCCTTGTTAATATAAGATGACATTTTATATGTTATTAAGTTTCCTTGTTAATAACATATTTTGGCTATTGTTAATTAACAATATTAGGGATAATATATCCCACATCGGGAAATCAAAGGGACCTTAAGTAATATATAAAGGGTTAGGGCCAATCCACTTATCACCAATTGGTTTTAAGTTGGAAGCTCATAATCAACCCGAATTTAACGTGGTATCAGAGCCCATGGTTTGGCCCAGCATTATGATTTCCCACATAAACAGTTTCCTACCTATGTAGCCTGTAAAAGTGGCCCATATGCTGTGGTATTTCCGAGATGTTGGGCTTGGGCTGTTTCCCAATGGACCGTTTCCCACCCACATCTCGAGAGGGGCTATTAAATGTCCCACATCGTTAAAGATGTTGATCTTTGGACAATATATATGTGTATGGGCAATCCTCCACTCTTGAGCTAGCTTTTGGGTGTGAGTTAGGCCCATCACTAATATTAGACACAAAGTGTCCCACATCGGAAGTTGGAAGAGATCATTAGTGGTATATAAGATAGATGGGCCACTCCACTAATCACCGATTGGTTTTAAGTTGGAAGCCCATCTAGCTTAATATGGTATCAGAGCCCACGATCCACGCAGTCCAACCCGATCCTTATCGATCCAGTCCAAAGTCGGTCCATCGATCCTTGCCCGAACATTCCGAGATTGACGCCAAAGAGCCATCATCTCGAGGGGGCGTATTAGGGACTAAAGTCCTACATCGGTTGTTGGAAGGGATCTTTAGCAATATATAATATAGATGGGCCACTCCACTTATCACCAATTGGTTTTAAGTTGGAAGCCCATCCAGTTTAACATGGTATCAGAGCCCAGATCCTAAGAAAAAAAAGCCCTAAACCCCTAATTAATTAATTACCCTTCCGACCGGGTATATAGGTCGTGTTTAACCTTCCGGCTAGGTATAATTGTCGTATTTGACTCGCTCGACCGAGTATAACTGTCTTAAAGTTCCGAGATTTCTGGCCGATAAGAACCATCATCTCGAGGAGGGGTATTAGGGATAATATATCCCACATCGGGAAATCAAAGGGACCTTAAGTAATATATAAAGGGTTAGGGCCAATCCACTTATCACCAATTGGTTTTAAGTTGGAAGCTCATAATCAACCCGAATTTAACAAACAATAATCACTTCTAACTATTGTCTTGTTAGTAATCAAAAAGCAGATCATGGTTTGCTTGGAAAATTAAGCGAGAAATTAACAATCAGATTGATTGATCAAACAGATAGTTGCAGTGATAATTGTGACGATAGGTGCAGTAATGTCAATAAAAAACTTCAATAATTCCTTCAACAATCATCACCAACGGCTAGGAGTTGGACTCTACGCCATTGTATGGTTCCAAGCTCTTTTTGGCTTCCTCCGACCTTCAAGGTACTTCTGAATCATATCTTGTGAAAAATATGGATAATCTGAAGGATCTCACTTTTCTATTTATGGTTCTTACAATTTTCACATATTTTAGGTTTATAAATATTTTTGTTGCTTTAAGAAGTGGTCCTAAATGATTTAGCAACATTTCCTATATAAGCTTTATAAACTTTTAACCTATTATTTGTGTGTGTGTGGCTCTTTTTCAAGTTATGGTGGTTTTTGGAGCTAAATCTTGTTTTGTGGTGTATATGCATACTAAATGCAAATTAGTTAAGACTTAGACTACGTAAAATGTTATGATACAATAACTACTGAATATATCTAGTTTATATTACATCTATAATTGATTTATACTATACAATGCAGGGGAGGAAAAGCTAGAAGGAACTGGTTTGTAGGCCATTGGATTTTAGGAACGTCAGTGGCTATTCTTGGGATGATAAACATATACACAGGCTTAAATGCTTACACTCAAAAGACATCAAAAAGTGCTAAGCTTTGGACCATACTCTTCACGGCACAACTCTCGTTTTTTGTCTTGCTCCATCTGTTTCAAGACAAGTGGTCTTATATCCAAACCCAAACCAATAGAACCCAATCAGTTGATCATAACAGCAACATCTCAACCGCAGAGCCTAGTCAAGGAGACGAGGTCGATGAGACTAAACCAGCGTTAGAGAAATGCTAAAAGCCTAAGAAGCTATACAGAATTTCGTTTTGGCTCTTGAAAATTGTTTGGGGGAAATAAGAAAATTTGGATTTGATATGTAATGGTGACACATTTGGCTATCTTTCGAGTCTTTTAGTTATCTTCAAAGTACTGTGCTGATGACTGGGACAGGGACATAAAGCGTGATTAAAAAGTCTTAATTAACCAAACCTGATATTTTTCTGTTGGTTTAACTGATTTTTTTAAAAAAATTTTATAAACCAAATCCGAAACCGGGAATAAGGATCTGGCTTACAAGCTCCACTCGAATAAAAGTACTCAATTCAAAAATTTCCTCACTAGTTTCGTTTGATCCATCATTTCCGGCACATTCCGCTAGTTCTGACCCAAAATCCAAGAGCATAGATTATCTTTCTCAACAATCAATGAAATCAGTAAGAAGGTGAGAGATTCACCCCATTCCTTAAATATCGAGACTTCCCATGTCGCCTCAAAGTAGTTAATAACCTATGAACTCATGAAAACTTGTAACCATCACCATCACCATCACTACACGTTATAAGAAAAAAAATTAGAACACAAATCCATTAAAATCCACTACAAGAAAACTAACTATAGTGACGAAAATTAACGAGGAAAATTAATCAAGGAAATTTAAAATCGACGTTAGTTCGTCATAAAATTATGACGAAATTATTTCGTCGTAAAAAAACGTAAGGCCAGGTGGTTTTTACGACAAAAAATGATTTGCTTAACTATAGCGTCTACTTTACGAGAAAATATTTTACGTTTATATAACGACGAAGTTTTGAGTCTACCGACTTTGTAATTGTAACACGTTTTTTTCCGGCAACCTAACAAAATTTGGTCATAAATTCCTCGTAAAATTTCAACAAAAAGATTCAAAAATTTCCTATAAATATGGACGTTTGAACATCATTTTAAACACACCAACAAGAAATAAATAAAAATGTGAAAGAAAAAAATTTTGGGCTCTTGAGTAGTGGAGGTGGATGTATACGCATAGAGATGCTAACGGGAGAGTGACGAAAGAATATCTCGAAGGGCTGAAGAAATTTATGCATCAAGAAGATTCCACACCACTCGCCCAAGAAAGTGGTAAGATGTTATGTCCTTGTCGGAAATGCAACAATTCGAAAATGGCAAATCGTGAAAATGTTTGGAAGCATTTAATAAATAGAAGTTTCACGCAAAATTACTATATTTGGTTTCAACATGGAGAATGTTATAATTATGAGAATGAAGCTAGTAGTAGTAATAGAAATTTTCAGAAAGGACCGGTTGAGTCATCCGACACACATGACGAGGCAGATGTAGAGAGAAAGTGTCAGGAATTCTACCGGGCGATGAACGACTCTTAGTTTTTTTTTCCGTTGGTTGTATTATAAATTCAAAACTTATTTATGTATAAAATATTTTCGTATTGAATTTTATTTTAAATTATATTTTAATTAATATTTTAAATTATTTTTCGTTTATCTTTTTTTAAAAATTTTGGAAAATAAAAATCGAAGTAAATTCGTAGCTAAATTACGACTACTTCACGCGGAAAGTTTACGAATAAGTAACGAGGAATAAATTTACGTCAACATTACTAGTAAAGATTAACAGAGTATTTTACATGGAACATTTTACGTGTAATTTATGACGAATAGCTTTTGAGGTATTTACGAGGAAATATAGCGTCTACCTTACGTGGGAAGGTTACATGGTCTTACAACGAATGCTGTACTTCTTTTTTACGAATTAGCGAGGAAACATGCGTTACGACGAACGATTAACGAGGAAACTTGTTTCCCCAATTTACGACGAAATTACTATGAATTTCTCTGTCGTTAATGTTGTGCTTTCTTGTAGTGATCGCTCCAGAACCGTTGTACAATCTCCTACAATGCCAAAAGCCGATCAGGGATAAGGAGACCGATGAAGACACATAGATGCAAGAAAGCAGGCACGGGACGACCGCAACAAAACATACCAGAGATTACTCCATGACTTGCAAAAATTGTTAGCGATGCAACACTATCATGAGCACAACACTACTCACGACACTGGGATATGTCGCAAAGCCGACTGAGTCACCGAGGAGGGAGAGACCCCTCAGACCACAAGAAAGTATCCACACTCCTCGTCAATCGCTTCCTCTAAAAACTGAAGAAAGGTAGGTTTAAAATGTCACTAGGAGAAAAAAACCGAGAAAACAAGTCGACATAGCTGCATAGGGAGACTGCATTTTTGGAAGAGAAATAAAGATTGAGAGGAAGGTCGCATCACCACCTCGTAGAGAACATAAATGACGTCCCTCAGACTGCAGCACTGCAACACTCCATGTGCCATCACCTTGAGCTCTGACACATGCCAATAACAAAGGCTAAGTACGGCTTTGAGTTAATCGAAACCTCCAAAGCTCCCAAGACAAGAAAAGGTTGAACACGCTTTTCCAAGACTCAGAGGAAGAGACGATAGTTCTTGAATCATACGTTTCTCACCCACCAAACGAACATAGGTAGTACAAAGACTACAACTCGAAATAGGAGGATGAGCTATATATACTCCTCCACGCGCCACCGTCCCTCCAGAAAGTTTAAGGGACTCCAGAATTACCCAAAAATGAGTTCAACGGCAGTAACCACACCAACCCCGCGTAAAAATTCCATCACCTAGTTGAACCACACTAGAACCAGTGATTCTCTTGAGAGAAAACGAAACCGGCAAGCCTCCACAAACAGAACAACGAATAAGACGGAGAAAGTGAAGAAAAAGGAAAAAGGGCTGTGAAGACTGAAGGAGGACGCCTACAGAGACAGGATGCGTGCTCACGCACCATCCGGTTGCCGGAGCACTCACAAATCTAGTTTCGCTTTAGGAGAGAGAAAGATTAGACTGAATTTGTATCAGATCTGACCCCTCAGATCCGAACGTGAAGCTAGAACTATCGCCTCACCTCAAAACCGCCACGCCAAAACCTCCGCCTGATATCTACAACTCTCGAAAGCCGCTTTAGTGATCAAGAAACATGAAGAGCATAGTGATAATTCTAAAAGGAAAGGAAAGGAAAAGAAAGGAAAGGAAATGAAAGGAAAGGAAAGGAAAGGAAAGGGGAGCCCTCCGTCGGTCAGCGATCGGCCACCAAAGAGGCTAAACGTGGCTGCCATACGTCATCAATGGGCAGAGAGAAGTTAAGATCTGTAAGAGTCTTGAATAAGTTGTTGATCCGTATATCATTTTTTTGTCAACTGCTGTAAAATATCTTACAGCAAAAAGAAAAATACAACAAAAAAAATACACAAACTAAATCATATGAAAATTATGGAAGCCTCCTTATTCCAATAGTTTGCTTGAGAGTTCATTAATGCTTATAGACCAGAAGATCTGAGTTTCAGTTACCAGAGAAGATATAATTATATGAATTAATGGAGAAAATTATTACAGTTGATATGCAACATGACACAAAAAATACGACCAAGTGCGGAATAGGACGTATCAGGTGGTGTTGTTAGACGTGATTCCATATAAAGTACCAAGGAAAGGAAAGAGTATCAATCATATGATCTACTCAATAACAATAATCACTTCATCATATATTCTCATGATGATCATATGATCCTGTCATTTATTGTTTGATTCATACAACTCTACTATATAAAGCTATTTAACTCTCATTATATCATAATACAATTCATACATTTCTCATAAGTTAATATGGTATCAGAGCATGTTATTTGTGTGAGTTTTGATCCACCGATCAAACTCAATACAAACACGTTTTCGTAACTTTCATTTATAATTGGGAAAATTGCCAATAAGGGACAAAATACCCATACTATTATTCCCTTAGAATTTAATTCATAATCTTTGTCCCTATAGTACTCACAATAACGAATATCCCCTTTTGTCATTTTTTATACATCTACCTTATAAAATAGGGAAGTAAAATAAAAAGTAAAAAGAAAAGAAAACGAAATAAAGTTAAAAAACCGAACCTTCAGCTAAGAAAATAAAACAAAAGAAGTAAAACTTTAAAAAAATTAACCCTCAGCTCTCGACGGTGTCTCAGTCGGAGAAGAAAGAGGCGATTTGCTTTTCGCTGAAACCCGTCTTCTTTCGCCAGAGAGCTCAAAATAGTCGTCACATCTCTTCGTCGTCCTCCTTTCGTCTTTAGTTTTGATCGATTTTACTCATCTTATAACTTCCCCGCGTCTTTATCGGAGTTGTCTAACCTCCGAAGTAGCTTCTTCTCTCGGAAAAAGCTGGATTAGCTTCACATTGTTCCTCTTTTGCTATTCCTTCATCTCAGTTCCCAAAAGTTGAAAGTTAGGGTTTTGAAATCCCCTTTATGAATTTTGTTTTTTTTTTCGTTTTTGTTTATGTGCATGTCGGAGAAATATATTGATTTTTTTTTAAAAAATTTGGTTGTTTTGAAAACCTCTTTATGTGAATTTTGTTTCTCGGTTCCCAAAACTTTGGTTGTTGAGATCGATTTTACATGTTGTTTGGGATCGAACTAGGAACAAAACTTTGGTTGTTGAGCTGATTTTGAGTTATATTTTGTTTGGTATCAGTTTTTGTATTATGTGTTGAATTGTAATAGACTTGAAAAGATAAATGAGCTCGATAAGTGTATACTTTTGTGATTCTTTTGTTTGCAATTACACATGTAAAGTCAATCATTTTAGTTACTGGGAGACACTCGTCTAGTTATGTAAAGGCTAACGAGTTGAAGTTTTTAATTTTCTGTTTTGTAGGAATGACTTACCAGTTTCCAAAACACATTCTTGAAGAAGGAGCTGAGATCCGGATTGATAAGATCAACAACACGTGTAGACGTACGATGCTGAAATTGTTGAAAGATTTTCTTAAGGATGAGTATGAGGAATTTTTGAAAGACCCTGTCTTCGGTCCGATTCTGGCAATCGTAGATAACATACTCATTTACTCAGAGAAGATTATTCACAGCTTCATATGCAAGCAAGGTTTCCAAGCTTCACAAGTTGTGGTTTGCATTTGCAAACATGCCTCTTAGGTTTTCAATGCAAGAATTTTATTCTGTGACTGGATTGAAGTTCAAAGACGAACCTGACATAGACTTCAATGATTGGAAATATCCTAAGGGTTTCTGGAGTAAGGCGTCGAGGCAAAATGCAAATATCAGTTTATACAACATAAGGGATGAAATTTTTAAAG